GTTGTTTATGGAGAGAAAGGACAGTGTGTGATGGTGTAGTTTATGGAGATGAAGGACAGTCTATGATTGTGTAGCTTATGGAGAGGAAGGACAGTGTGTGATGGTGTAGTTTATGGAGATGAAGGACAGTCTGTGATTGTGTAGTTTATGGAGAGGAAGGATAGTGTGTGATTGTGTAGTTTATGGAGATGAAGGACAGTCTATGATTGTGTAGCTTATGGAGAGGAAGGATAGTGTGTGATTGTGTAGCTTATGGAGATGAAGGACAGTCTATGATTGTGTAGTTTATGGAGATGAAGGATAGTGTGTGATTGTGTAGTTTATGGAGATGAAGGACAGTCTATGATTGTGTAGTTTATGGAGATGAAGGACAGTCTGTGATTGTGTAGTTTATGGAGATGAAGGACAATGTGTGATGGTGTAGTTTATGGAGAGGAAGGACAGTCTGTGATGGTATCTATGACAACATCATTACAATGTTTTACTGTGTGATAGATACAACCATTTAAAAAGTAAAAGCCAAAGTACATCTTTTGATAAAATATCATCTGCATGGTGTTCCATAGCATGTCGCTGTTAACACGGAGCTCACGAAAAGTGGTATCGCAATACCACCAGTCGGTGTTTTTTAACGCCAGGTTCGTATAAGGGCAGAATACTTTAGTAGTTAACCAATGGCCTCTGGGCTTTTAAGAGTATAGACTGATATGAATATGTTGAATTTTGTTGTCCACTTTTCTATGGACAGTTGTTTCTTTGGCCCCGATTTTTGGATCCATTTGAGGGAAGGTGTCTCGCCATCCTCTGCCTCCACAACCATTTCAAAAGATGACTGTGAGTTGTCTGTGATTGTGGCAAGATCTACAAATTTATTGGACCAAATTTTGTCCTTCACCTTTTCTGTCACCAAATCAGTTAAGGGGATTGCAGCTGAATGGAACCTAGTTTGTGGGGAGACATCTTCCCCTTCAAATGTCATCGCAATTTGACCAGCTGGGACCCCAGACCCACCGATTTCAGAATTAATGGCTGCACAGGTGGGCGTGTTGACCGCAAGTTGTGGAGCTCCTGCTGCGATGTTGGCCGAGTGCCTTGAGCTGGGAGGGCTGATGTTGGTATCTGGCAGGGAAAGGGACGCATGCCTGGCCGACGTCTCAGACACTTCATGCCGCTGACTCATATTTTGCCTAGCGTTCTGCAGGCCACGTTCATAAGCTTGTCGTATCAAGTCCTGCATATGAGCAGGATAAATGTTAAGAACAGTGTCACTTGGTGCAGGATCTGCATCATCAGATGATGTGGAGGACTGTGTTACCATTTGGCGCCGAGTTTTGTTGGTTGATGTCACCAGATGGTTGGCAGCAGCTGCTTTCCGCTTCGGTGGCATGGTATCTGTGTACCTATAGACAATACAAGACAAGAGAGCAGAGATCTGGGCCACTGAACATACATGGTGGTATTAGTAAAGTCGCTACCAACCTGTATGCTGGTCAATACATAGTTTGTATGAAAATAGAATTCGAGAGAAAACTGTATGTTATCACAGAAATATTGATTACTTTGAAACTTAAATGAATTTGAAATTGTAAATTCCATGCCTTATATGATTATAAAATAAACACATCAGTATAGTTGACATGTGAAATGTTTCCCATTTACAATAAATAGCCTTGCATGGTAAATATTCATATACTTTGGTGCTAGTAAAAAACTTATGCTGGCGAGTTCAAAATGAAATACTCCCATAGGCAACTAAAGGTTTTACTACCACAAATGCCCAATGTCTCAGTACTACAGCTCATTGTATGTAAATATGTGTATAATTGCACCCAAAAACTTGAAGGACAGCAACTACGGGTTATTTCAACCACAAATGCCCAATAAAGTAAAGCCATAGGGTGGCATGTTCGTGAAAGAAAAATTCTCATAGGCAACTAAGGGTAATTCCACCACAAATGCCTAATATCTAGACACTTCAGCTCCAAGTACTTATTATATATGATTACAAGTACATTTCAAATACTGTACGCTCGAGCTCGAAGGAGAGCAACTATGGATAATTTCACCTCAAAAGCTCTCATAGTAGGCAACTGAAGGTTATAACAACCATAAATGCCCCGAATAGGAACGCCATAGGGCCAATGATTCACACAATAAATAAAAGTTGAAAGTAGGATGTCATTATTATTTGCTTAACAATTTTTAAATTCTGATGAAACTATGTATGATAAAAAGTAATGAAATAATGTGTATTGGCCCATGTGCGCCGACCAATAGGAGGGAGGGACCTAGAAGGACACTTTCCCACCGAGGGTTTTTGTTGGTATCTAAACAATCAGCTAACTTTACACCTCTGAAACAACAGATCTTGCCGTACATGCCCAAGGCATGATTAGCTGGTGCTTGATACCAACACAAGTTATTTTAAATAAGGAAACTGAAATACTATTGCTGTCACTTCAGCAGACTGTCTCCTAGACTCTTGCTATACACACCTTACTGTGAGTATGAATAAGTGAATTGATATATATACAAAGGGAAGCAACCTAAACATGACTGAGATTTTCTAGTATTGCGAGAAGGGAGATAACCCCGAATTATATTTTATCATGAGAGGTGAGATAAAAACAGTATCCTATTACCCTGTAAAACCCAAAGCCCGGATAACGCAACCCCGAATTGAGCGGTAGTAAGGCTTCATTTGTTCGAAATGAACCCCATCGTGACCATAAAGTTGAAACACGTCCCATATTTCCTTCTCATGGTCCCATAACGTTACCCCGGGCATGTCTAACACAACAGAGAGACAATCATTTACATAAGCTACCCAAGCGTTGTAAATTTGCACCGATACATCCCCTTTATGTGCTCGCATTTTTCCTCTGGGAAATAGCTTACTCACACAAATGTGTTTGACCCCGTAACGACCTAACAACAATCGCACCAGATCTAACACACGTCGAACAACCCAGTCTACATCAGTGGCCGGACTACTAATATCGTTCCCTCCCGCCTGAACGACACAGACACTAACTTGCCGATAACTTCTCAATGTTTTGGCCAAGTCTGTCGTAATCCTGTCTATTGACGCCCCCGAGACGCCGTGGAAATGTACACGATCAGCCCATAACATCATGTTCCGAGTCCGGGCCCCCGAGTCAACAAACTGCCCCAAACGTTTGATCAGGCTATGCCCCAACATTACCACATCTTTTCCTGGACTTGACATGATTTAGGCTCTCTCTCTCTGCATGAGGATTATATGGGATACGATAGAGCGGAGGGCTAGACAGGGGCAGCTTGACGATCTCAATATACTTGCATCTGTTTGTAAACAAAGGAAACCGTTCAATGTAAACATGCCATTGTTGACGGTGTTCTGCATGATCAAATTCGTGCAGAAACACGGTGGGATAGTATAGTTATCACTTACCTGCTATTGCAGGAATTTTCAGGAATCTTGTGATGATATTATTTAAGGTTTCCTGGTCAGATCCAAAGGATTGTTGTTGTTTGCATTTGATGATAATTGTTTGTCCGAAAAAATGGCGTCAATTTTTCTTCAGCGAAGTGGGTCAAGTGGGGTGCACGTCGGATGCTGCAAGGGGGACTGACCTCCTGACCAATAAAAAACCCCTTAATTACTTCTAGCATTGAAGGGGCCCCATAAAGGGGATATTTAGGGAGTGATACTAAGGATGATAGCTATAATCTATCTAGATAGTGTATGTTGAGAGTGATACTAAGGATGATATCTATAAGCTATGTGGATAGTGTATGTTGAGAGTGATACTAAGGATGATAGCTATAATCTATCTGGATAGTGTATGTTGAGAGTGATACTATTGATGATAGCTATAATCTATCTGGATAGTGTATGTTGAGAGTGATACTAAGGCTGATAGCTATAAGCTATGTGGATAGCGGATGTTGAGAGTGATACTAAGGATGATAGCTATAATCTATCTGGATAGTGTATGTTGAGAGTGATACTGTTGATGATAGCTATAAGCTATGTGGATAGGGTATGTTGAGAGTGATACTAAGGATGATGGCTATAATCTATCTGGATAGTGTATGTTGAGAGTGATACTGTTGATGATAGCTATAAGCTATGTGGATAGTGTCTGTTGAGAGTGATACTATAGATGATAGCTATAATCTATCTGGATAGTGTAAATTGAGAGTGATACTATAGATGATAGCTATAATCTATCTGGATAGTGTAAATTGAGAGTGATACTATAGATGATAGCTATAATCTATCTGGATAGTGTATGTTGAGAGTGATACTATAGATGATAGCTATAATCTATCTGGATAGTGTATATTGAGAGTGATACTATAGATGATAGCTATAAGCTATGTGGATAGTGTATGTTGAGAGTGATACTATAATGTATGAAATGATTTTTCCTTACAGCTGATCTACATCTGTCACCATGTACGTCGAAAATGTCTTTCATATGTTAGCTGGCCAATAAGTTATAGCTATAAAGCATCGGTCCGTTGTTCAAACCAGTCTCTACTCAAACAAATAGATCTCTTCTTTGTTATCTACAACTACTTCCATAAACAATATGTCTGATGAAATATTTATCAATATTGCATGTAGTGGTTTTTTTTTTATAAAATTTCCTTTTTTTTTTCGTACAATTATTCTGTAATTAAGTAATCGTTGACATACACAGATACCTTACTTTGATTCCTGTTGCTTCACATTTTGAGTCCTAAAATTTTTAAGATAATTATATTTCTTTTGTAAAAATGTAAATTTGATAAACTTCGAGGAAACATTAACTCAACCAGATTTTAAACATTTGAAATCCTGTAACTGGGAGGCTGAAGCTACAGATATGAAATGCTCTGGTGTTTTGTTAGGTAATTTTGTTTTATAACAAGACAATTGGCTTCTGGCGCTGAAATGTTTTTGTTGTATGATTTCCTTTTATTTGCGCTTGTTTTACTTGGTTTATCCTGTTTGTCTCCTTGGCATGTAGGTTTTAAAGACGTTAGCACTACAGAAGGTATCTTTGACTTTTTCTAATTATTATCACCATTCAGACCTCTGGTGAGAAGATTCTGCTTTCTTGAAACATTTCGCATAAAAGCTTACTGTGTTTTAAATGATAATGCCATGCCTCGGAGTCCCGTACATTCTGTCACTCACTTTGTTGTCACAACAGAATGCTGGTCACGTAGGAAAGTCGTGGGTGTCACTTGCCCAATCTTGTGTACAATTAAATTTTACATGTCCTAGAATAAATGTTCATTCCTATTATCTTACACCTATCGTTTGGTTTAATGTTTTATTATGTTTTTGTTGGTTGTTCACAGGATAAACAACTTATTTCGAAAATGTCAAGGTCACTGCCTGGAATCAATATATGTATTATAACTCTAGAGTTGATCAGCTATACAACTTAAGTCCTACACCAGCCTTATGAGTTGGTCTAGGTATTCGGTAAATTAAAAGTGACAAGCTTTATTGACCCTTAAGACGATGTTCCTATGGATCTAAAGCATTCGTTATGAAACTAAGGTGAAGTCTCTTGATAGTACATTCCTGTTGTTCAGCCCATTATGAAGTAATAAGATATGTTATAAATGTATTTGGAAGTGCATGCCTGCCTGGAACAACTCTTGTATTAATGCTGGCTTTTTATGATCTGTTGGCGATATAATCAGTAACCCTTTACCAGTCACTTGTACCCTAAAACACTAAAGTTAAAATGATACATTTATTTACTATCAAATCTCATTTTAATTTTATGTTTAGTGTAGTGAAAATGAATATTTTTAGCTGTCTTATTTCATTTCTAAAAAAATAAATATGTTTTGCAATTTAATCTAATGCTAGTAAAAGATCATGCATTTAGCAGACTTATTCCGACTCTAGTCAAAATAAGCTGGAATCCATCCCACGTTTGATAAGTGTAATGCAGGCCAATATATTTCACACACCTCGGGCAGCTTTCAGTGAACTCTTCCCATCTGTTTATAAACTTGTTTGTCATTCATAACCATTATAGTGTCATACTTGTCGCAAAAACAATTACCTGTATCAGAAATCAAATTTAAATTACCATGGTACATTAGTGCAGATGGCAGAAGTCGGATAGTGTGTTACTAATAGAATCTTCATTGTCCTTTAGTCAATCAATTGGGGGTTATTTTCAAATGATAAGATATTTCATATGCAAGCAGTTCCAGAGATATTTTATCAAATCACATTGTCAGCACATCACATATCGGATCTGTAATATTTATACAAATCACAAAATATACAATATACCATGTTGTTTTTAGCTTTCATAATTTCTTTTTTTTGTAATAGTCTATAATGTGTAGCTAATTTAGCTTTCATCATTTTTCCGCTTAGTTTGTAAAAAGCTGTAAAGAACAGTCGATACTTGAGATTTTGTGGGTTGTGTTTTTGTTCTGTAATGGGTTGGGTCAGACATCAATGCTATCAAGGATCAATTCAGCTTTTGCAAAAATAAGAAGCTTCACATGTGCATGTGTGTGATGTCAGTTTTCTTTCTCCTTCTGAAGTAGTTAGCTAGGGATATATAGCATTATTATGTAATGACTTATAAACCACTAAATCAGAATATCCTTGTTTAGTTTCCATACTTACTTCTTAAATGTTTTTTATCAAAGTACAGATGACTTCTGTATAGACACGTGTACTAATAAAAAAACATAACAGAAATATGGTTGAAGGGACATAACTCTATTTTATTTAATAACATAATGAAATGAATGTTATACTTGAACATGTATTTCTCAAAAGTAGTAAATATTTTCATTTGTATATGTTGGGATATGTTTTGAAATTGTTGATTTAAAACTGGACATTAAAAGTGTTTGTGTTTTCAATATGGAATGAGTAGAAGTGGCACTAATAGTATTTAATAGCTGACTATTGACATTTACAATGATAAAAAAGGTACCTCATTCAAATGTTGGTTTTGACTTAACCTTGTGTGTGTTTTTCACAGATCACCGTGGATACGTAGGATCCACTCAGAGGGTGGATAGCACGACAGAGTTCCACCCTATGGGCCCAGAAAGAGAGGTGGAATACTTCTTTGCTTCTGATGCTAGGTAAAACATCAATGTCTGCATTGAGTAAGATTAACTAATTTTCAGAGAACAAGTTTATCCACAATTTAAAGATTGTCAGACAACATGATGGTAAGCTAGCTGATCTTTGAACTGTTGGAGACAAAATAAAAGTTGCCTATACAACATTGGAATACACGTACACCTGGAACATGTCTGTTAACTGTGTACAGGTGCCCCTCCCCCACTCTCCTTCAACTGTGTACAGGTGCCCCTCCCCCACTCTCCTTCAACTGTGAAAGGTGCCCCTTCCCCATTCCCCTCCAACTGTGTACAGGTGCCCCTCCCCCACTCTCATTCAACTGAGTACAGGTGCCCCTCCCCACTCTCCTTCAACTGTGAACAGGTGCCCCTCCCCCACTCTCCTTCAACTGTGTACAGGGGCCCCTCCCCCACTCTCCTTCAACAGTGAACAGGTGCCCCTCCCCCACTCCCCTCCATCTGTGAACAGGTGCCCCTTCCCCACCCCCCTCCATCTGTGAACAGGTGCCCCTTCCCCACTCCCCTCCAACTATGTACAGGTGCCCCTTCCCCACTCTCCTCCAACTATGTACAGGTGCCCCTTCCCCACTCCCCTCCAACTATGTACAGGTGCCCCTTCCCCACTCTCCTCCAACTATGTACAGGTGCCCCTCCCCCACTCTCCTCCAACTATGTACAGGTGCCCCTTCCCCACTCTTCTCCAACTGTGTACAGGTGCCCCTTCCCCACTCCCCTCCAACTATGTACAGGTGCCCCTTCCCCACTCCCCTCCAACTATGTACAGGTGCCCCTTCCCCACTCTCCTCCAACTATGTACAGGTGCCCCTTCCCCACTCCCCTCCAACTGTGTACAGGTGCCCCTTCCCCACTCTCCTCCAACTATGTACAGGTGCCCCTCCCCCACTCCCCTCCAACTGTGTACAGGTGCCCCTTCCCCACTCTCCTCCAACTATGTACAGGTGCCCCTTCCCCACTCTTCTCCAACTGTGTACAGGTGCCCCTTCCCCACTCCCCTCCAACTATGTACAGGTGCCCCTTCCCCACTCCCCTCCAACTATGTACAGGTGCCCCTTCCCCACTCTCCTCCAACTATGTACAGGTGCCCCTTCCCCACTCTTCTCCAACTGTGTACAGGTGCCCCTTCCCCACTCCCCTCCAACTATGTACAGGTGCCCCTTCCCCACTCCCCTCCAACTGTGTACAGGTGCCCCTCCCCCACTCTCCTCCAACTATGTACAGGTGCCCCTCCCTCACTCTTCTCCAACTGTGTACAGGTGCCCCTCCCTCACTCTTCTCCAACTATGTACAGGTGCCCCTCCCTCACTCTTCTCCAACTGTGTACAGGTGCCCCTCCTTCACTCTTCTCCAACTGTGTACAGGTGCCCCTCCTTCACTCTTCTCCAACTGTGTAGAGCCCCCTCCCCCCCTCCCCCAGCTAGTATTGTTCACTAGTGTAATACTACAGGTTAACTGGACCACCAACACTTAGATTGTTATAGAAGCTCAGTTGTTAGATATTTTATCTTTAATTGACTTCATCAAGAAAGTGGAGCTGTAAGTTAATTGTCGTCAAACACCTAAAACAAATATGTCACTAAATCGGAGACTGGGTAAATAGTTATAAATTAACAAGTGTTCAATTGTATTGCATCATATTTATATTTCTGTGTCAGCATTGTTTACATTGCCTGAACTGTTAGACACCTGTCTGCAGTCAGCAACATTTTGGTAGTCAGTATGGAGGTTTTATTTAGTCTGTAAGCTGATCAAAATTAGGTGTTACCTCTGTAGTCTCTCCAAAGTTTCTTTGCTATTAACTCTGTGTAAGGACGAAAACATTTTCTTAACTAGAGTTGGTGAAACTGGTTGTGTGTGGTTGACATATCAGAGTCAGGACATTAAACCTACATAGGATTAGCTGTAGTACAGAGGAAACAAGTCACCTCACCAGGTTGGCATGGTCTTTTTAAACAGCCAGTAGACATCAAATGATCATCAAAATTGTTATAATCATTTATTTATTTAACAAAGATCGTGGTCATCAAACGTCTGTAGGTTTCTATGCAAAATCAGTTTATCATCGAAAGTTACAATATTTCATGTATGTTTTAAATCAAAGCAATAAATATATTTAAAGATCATAATTTGTATTTTTCATGTAAATGAAATGCCTTCCTTTTTAGTGGATCCTACACTATATTTCGTTAGGACTTGAACACTATATTAATACAAACTGGTGTTGCAATATTTTGAATGGTGATACACATATCATAAAGGGGCTTTGTATCACAATGTGATCGGAGTGCAAAAGATGGCACAGCACAAGTGAAAAGTCTATGTAATTAAAGTTTTTGTCACAATCAAGGTATGAGGTGAGATTTCAAATAGGTGTTTGTTTTCAGTGTAATTGTCTGTTTCAGTGTAATTGTCTGTTTCAGTGTATTTGTCTGTTTCAGTGTAATTGTCTGTTTCAGTATATTTGTCTGTTTTAGTATATTTGTATGTTTCAGTGTAATTGTCTATTTTTAGTGTTATTGTCTGTTTCAGTGTAATTGTCTGTTTCAGTGTAATTGTCTGCATTCAGTGGTAGTGGTTTTTGTTTCAGTGTAATCGTCTGTTTTCAGTGGTAGTGATTTTTGTTTCAGTGTAATCGTCTGTTTTCAGTGGTAGTGATTTTTGTTTCAGTGCCATCATTGAACACACAAACCAGGTAATATTCCTGGAGGATGATGATGTCGCCTCTGTAAAAGATGGCTCTCTGTCCATACACCGCGTCAAACGCAGCATAGACGAGTCAACTGTCCGCGAGGTGATCACACTCAAAACAGAGATACAAGAGATTATGAAAGGTATGTTGATAAGATAAAATATAGGACACAAACCATGAGCAACAAGTATTTACAGACTGCTGCAGCAAGTTTTCAGTCTCTTTATTTATCCAATGATATATGTACATGTATTATAAAGTATGTTTATCTTGTAATTTGTATCAAATTAATTATCCCCAACCAACGAAATCGGTAGGGTATATACGAACGGGTCTGTTGTCTGTTCATCTGGGATATAGTGTTTCTGGAGCATAACTAAAAAAACATTGAAGAAAAATTTGCAAAACTCTAAACATGTATTGATCTAGTGGTCTAGTAGTGCCTTTTGATATGAAGCAGTTTTCCTATAATATGTATTCTGTTACCATGGAAACACATAACAAAAACTGCCAAATTCACTGTTTCATTAATACAACTTTGTGGTAATAGTGTTAAAAGTTTGTAACATAATTTCACTGCAGAATTATTTTGGAATACTTTGTCCAAAGTCTAATTCCCTAAATTGCAGTAAAAGTGAAGGAAAAACTCACTACAATGTATAATACTGACCCTGAATTCTGCAAAATGGTTCTAAAACTCCCTTTGGGGTGCTCCCTTAGCAGGGGAATCTGACAAGCACCCCTTTGCAGGGAATCTGACTAGCACCCCTTGGCAGGGGATCTGACTAGCACCGCTTGGCGGGGGATCTGACTGACTATGTCCTTGTTTAAAGTGTTTTTCTATAAGAATCCTGAAGTCATAAGTAAATGGAAAACCAAGGAAATGTACAAGTCAGAGTTAAGTTAGAAATAAGTCAAAGTAAAATTAAAATCAAGTCAAAGCTGGAGAACATTGGCTTCATCAGAGCTAATCTTGTTAAAATACCTTTTGACTTCACAGGTAAATTCTCATCCTTCATGCAGAAAGAGATTTTTGAACAGCCCGAGTCTGTTATCAACACAATGAGGGGGCGTGTCAACTTTGAAAACAATCAGGTTGTTCTTGGGGGCATCAAGGATTTCATGCCTGAGATCAGGAGATGTCGTCGAATGTTGTTCATCGCCTGCGGGACAAGCTATCACAGTGCTGTAGCTGTAAGTGATATCAGAGTCGCATTGTTAAGATAAGTCACAATGTCTATCTCATATATTGAAAGTGGAAGTTCAGTAAATATGTGTAAACCAATGACAAATTCTTTCCCTCCCCTCCTTACCACATTTGATGAATTCCTTTCTTCAAGTCTTCCGCACACATAACAATGTTACCTCTCTCCCACGTATTCCCCCACACATAACAATGTTTCCTCTCTCCCAAGTCTTCCCACACCTAACAATGTTACCTCTCTCCCAACTCTCCCCACACATAACAATGTTACCCCTCTCCCACGTATTCCCCCACACATAACAATGTTCCCTCTCCCCCAAGTCTCCCCCACACATAACAATGTTGCCTCTCTCCCAAGTCTCCCCACACATAACAATGCTACCTCTCTCCCATGTATTCCCCCACACATTACAATGTTACCTCTCGCCAAAGTCTTCCCCCACACATAACAGTGTTACCTCTCTCCCAAGTATGCCCCACACATAACAATGTTACCTCGCTCCCAAGTCTTCCCACACATTACAATGTTACCTCTCGCCAAAGTCTTCACCCACACATAACAATGTTACCTCTGTCCCAAGTATTCCCCACACATAACACTGTTACCTCTCTTCCAAGTCTTCCCACACATAACAATGTTACCTATCTCCCAAGTCTCCCCACACATAACAATGCTACCTCTCTCCCATGTATTCCCCCACACATTACAATGTTTCCTCTCGCCAAAGTCTTCCCCCACACATAACAATGTTGCCTCTCTCCCAAGTCTCCCCACGCATAACAATGTTAACTCTCTCCCAAGTCTCCCCACGCATAACAATGTTACCTCTCTCCAAAGTCTTCCCCCACACATAACAGTGTTACCTCTCTCCCAAGTCTCCCCCACACATAACAATGTTCCCTCTCCCCCAAGTCTCCCCACACATAACAATGTGACCTCTCTCCCCCGTATTCCCCCACACATAACAATGTTGCCTCTCTCCCAAGTCTCCCCACGCATAACAATGTTAACTCTCTCCCAAGTCTCCCCACACATAACAATGTGACCTCTCTCCCCCGTATTCCCCCACACATAACAATGTTACCCCTCTCCCACGTATTCCCCCACACATAACAATGTTACCTCTCTCCCACGTATTCCCCCACACATTACAATGTTACCTCTCGCCAAAGTCTTCCCCCACACATAACAATGTTACCTCTCCCAAGTCTTCCCCCACACATAACAATGTTACCTCTCTCCCAAGTATTCCCCACAAATAACAATGTTACCTCTATCCCAAGTCTTCCCACACATAGCAATGTTACATCTCTCCCAAGTATCCCCCACACATACCAATGTTACCTCTCTCCCAAGCCTTCCCCCACACATAGCAATGTTACCTCTCGCCAAAGTCTTCACCCACACATAACAATGTTCCCTCTCTCCCAAGTCTTCCACCCACACATAACAATGTTTCCTCTCTCCCAAGTCTTACCACACATAACAATGTTTCCTCTCTCCCAAGTATTCCCCACAAATAACAATGTTACCTCTCTTCCAAGTCTTCCCACACATGACAATGTTACCTCTCTCTCAAGTCTTCCCACACATGACAATGTTACCTCTCTCGCAAGTCTTCCCACACATAACAAGGTTACCTCTCTCCCAAGCCTTCCCCCACACATAGCAATGTTACCTCTAGCCCAAGTCTTCCCCCACATAACAATGTTACCTCCCTCCCAAGTCTCCCCACACATAATAATGTTACCTCTCTCCCGAGTCTTCCCACACATAACAATGCTACCTCTCTCCCATGTATTCCCCCACACATTACAATGTAACCTCTCTCCCAAGCATCCCCCACACCTTATGATGTTACCGCTCTCCCAAGTCTTCCCACACATACCAATGTTACCTCTCTCCTAAGTCTTCCCACACATACCAATGTTACCTCTCTCCCGAGTCTTCCCACACATAACAAGGTTACCTCTCTCCCAAGCCTTCCCCCACACATAGCAATGTTACATCTCTCCCAAGTATCCCCCACACATACCAATGTTACCTCTCTCCGAAGTCTTCCCACACATAACAACGTTACCTCTCTCCCACGTATTCCCCACACATAACAATGCTACCTCTCTCCCAAGTCTTACCACACATAACAATGTTGCCTCTCTCCCAAGTCTTCCACCCACACATAACAATGTTTCCTCTCTCCCAAGTCTTACCACACATAACAATGTTATCTCTCTCCCAAGTCTTCCCACACGTAACAATGTTACCTCTCTCGCAAGTCTTCCCACACATAGCAATGTTACCTCTAGCCCAAGTCTTCCCCAACCTTATGATGTTTCCTATGTCCCAAGTCTTCCCCAACCTTATGATGTTTCCTATGTCCCAAGTCTTCCCCAACCTTATGATGTTTCCTATGTCCCAAGTCTTCCCCAACCTTATGATGTTTCCTCTGTCACAAGTCTTCCCCACTTTATGATGTTGCCTCTGTCCCAAGTCTTACCCCCCCTATGATGTTTCCTCTGTCCAAAGTCTTCACCCACACATAACAATGTTGCCTCTCCCCCAAGTCTTCCCACACGTAACAATGTTACCTCTCGCCAAAGTCTTCCCCCACACATACAATGTTACCTCTCTCCGAAGTCTTCCCACACATAGCAATGTTACCTCTAGCCCAAGTCTTCCCCAACCTTATGATGTTTCCTCTCTCCCAAGTATTCCCCACACATAACAATGCTACCTCTCTCCCAAGTCGTCCCACACATAACAATGTTGCCTCTCTCCCAAGTCTTCCCCACTTTATGATGTTGCCTCTGTCCCAAGTCTTCCACCACCTTATGATGTTTCCTATGTCCCAAGTCTTCCCCCACACATAACAATGTTTCCTCTCCCAAGTCTTCCCCACTTTATGATGTTTCCTCTGTCCCAAGTCTTACCCACCTTATGATGTTTCCTCTGTCCCAAGTCTTCCCCCACCTTATGATGTTTCCTCTGTCCCAAGTCTTCCCCCACTTTATGATGTTTCCTCTGTCCCAAGTCTTCCCCCACCTTATGATGTTTCCTCTTTCCCAAGTCTTCCCCCACCTTATGATGTATCCTCCCCTTTGTGACAGACACGACAACTGCTGGAGGAGCTGACAGAGCTACCAGTGATGGTGGAGTTGGCTAGTGACTTCCTCGACAGAGACACACCTGTATTCAGAGACGACGTCTGCTGTTTCATCAGTCAGTCAGGTAAATATCACCAACACATGTTTTATTTGGAGAGTTAGTGAGCAGCTGTGTGGATGATAAAGGTATTTTGTATATCATCACATTTTTAGGTCACCTGAGACAAAGTCTCAAGTGACCTATTGTGATTGCCTTTTGTCCGTCGTCGTCCGTCGTTCGTCGTTCGTCGTTCGTCGTCCGTCGTCCGTCCGTAAACAATTTACATTTTCGACTTCTTCTCCAAAACCCCTGAACCAATTTCAATGAAATTTTGCAGGGACCTTCCATGGACAAAGGTCAACAAAATTAGTTGCCGGTTTAGTCCTACGCCCCCAGGGGCCTGAGGGGCGGGGCCAAAAGGGGTCAAATTGACTAAAATTTCAAAAATCTTCTTCTCCAAAACCCCTGAACCAATTGCAATGAAATTTTGCAGGGACCTTCCATGGACAAAGGTCAACAAAA